AGTTATTTACTAAAAAATTATATATATAGACAAAAATACACCAATAATATTTATTATATTGGACTTTTATCATTTCTGATTCTAATAAAATTGATAATACACAGTTTTGGTTACAAACTACAAATATTTTGTAAGATTTGCAACACTGCGACGAAAAATGTCAGTTTACGCCGCTTTACCGGCCGATTGCAGTTTTCTTTTTTGCAGTTTAGTTTCTTCAGCATATTACAGAACGTTAACTGAGTATCGAGACACTTCCAGCAAAACTTTGAACCTTTGATGACAGGTGGCGATAGTAGTTAATACAAAAATTAATTTAATATTGAAATAAAATACAAATAAACTGTTTAAAATATATTTATAACATTATAATTATATTATAGTTACTAGAAAATACCAATACTTTTACATAAAATATTTTCAATTTTAAATTATTCTTGAAAATGTTAATATTTAGAATTTTGTCAAGACGCCATTATGTGGGCGTGTACAAAGTAAAGTGACGTGAACAGAGGACAGAGAATCGAACGACCTCTGCGCGTTTCTGTTATCCTGTTGCTATATTTTGTAGATAGAAATGAAAATTGCTGAATTGCACACGGACACAGAGCTGGGTTATCTTCGCGTGTTTCTGTTATCCTGATACTAGATTTTGTAGATTCAAGTTGTGCTAGCTATTGGAATTTATAGTTGTATTTCGATGAGAAAGGATTTTATTGATTTAGAAACAAATTTTTGCATAGCTATAAAATAAAATTTGATAGGGTATCATTGACAATTTTTGCTTTTTTATGAAACATCCCAAAAGAAAATCTTCTAAAAAGGATCTTTTTCACAAAAGAACTGAATGGTCCGATTGTTTTGAAGGTTATTTCAAAACCTGTTTAGACTCGACAGAGCTCATTACTGTTGCAGACTGAGGAGGCTGTTCCGCTGTTCATTGAAATTATTGTTTTCCAGCGGTATGCTTGTGGATTCAGCGGGCTCGCACATATAATCCGTAAGTATCAGTGTTAAGCGACCAGATGCCAGTGCTTTTAAATACGTGACATGCATTTTGTACATAGCTGCCTTGCTATATGCTTCGTTGAACAAGCCGGCGATGAAGGTGCCTAACAGCACGTCCAGGATTTGCCTGACAAAACTTTCGAATTACTTTATCCATTTCATAAATATTTCGGTAGTTATCCAGCTTGATAGTTGAGCTACACCTAAAATGCCAGGAGGAGCTTTATTTAGTTCGTTTTTTATGTTTTTTTTCTTCTAGGGAATATCATCATGGGCGGGATGAAAGTTTCATCAGCATTAACACAACAAATAACAGTGGTGTTGAAGCAAGAAAATCTAATGAGGAAGTTCTAAGGAGGGTTAACAAAGATAGAGAATTGCTAAAGACTGTTACTGGAAAAGTCTTATCTGGGATATATAGAGAGAGAAAATCGATATAGAATACTAATACTACAACTGTTTCTTAAAGGAAAAATAGAAGGCCGTAGAAGTGAAGAGGAAGATATAACCGACACATTCTAGCAAGCGTCCGTATAACTGATAAAACTTTGGGACTTGTGGCCGATTAAAAGCTTGAGCGTGAACTGCTGAGGTAGCTTCTGGTTTGCGCAGATGTACCTTTAAGTCTTAGGAATGTATTTTCAGTCTTTTTAACGTTGTCAAGAACCCAGGTATCTAAACTTGTTCAGAGTTTCTATGTACTGCTCTCATATTCTCATGTCTGGTGATGGATTATTTCTCTTACTACCTAATCGATAACCATTATCTTTGTTTTGGTGTTTGACGACTACCTGTCTAAAATTCTTAATTTTGTTTAATCACGTTATAATAAATTATAAGAATCGAAAGAACAAACGTTATATGCCGCTTCTAATTTTATCAATCAAGCATTTCTCAAAATAAAAAAACTTTCCAATGCTCAATTTTAAAATATCCAATTCTATTTTTCCAATGGAACAGTTCAAAGAATTAGATTGTAGTGCAAAATGTCTCGGTCCACTATTGTCTCTTATCACAAATTTACGAAGTCCTCATTTGATTCGAAAAATTCGTAGCAGAGGCAGCAATAAGTAGGTAAAGGATTTTTTGCTTATCAGCGATACTGGTGTCAGCTGATTAAGAACACCTTAATAATGACAGTAAATATAAAGTTAAAACATCCTATATTCCACAATATTTAGGATCAGACAGGTAACAAATATTTTAACCCAATCTAAGAGTAATGAGATTGTCAAAACACGCATTGTTAAAAAACCAAATATTTTGCTTTAATTTTCGGCTCTACACCAGATATTAATCATACAAAACAAAAAGTTTGTAATTGGGTATAGATATGAACACTACTACACTAATACAAACCATTGGCACTAATATTTGTCGTATACGAGAAAGCATTCGATAGCATAGCCATCAGAAAATGTTAAAAACATTGACAGAATGCCGAATATGCCATCGCTACATTGACATAACCAAATATATCTACCAAGATTTCTCAGCTAGCGTAGGGCTGAACAAAAAAATAATAAATTCTGTATACAGCGCGGAGTACGGTAAGGAGACACTGTCCCTCCAAAGCTATTCACAACGCATTTAGAACATACTTGTAAGTCATATCTGAATGAGCATAGTATCATATCAACATAAATGGAGAGAAGCTCAGTCATTTGAGATTTGCAGATGATATCGTCCTTATAGCCGATCGTATGGATGATGCAATAATAATGTTTGAAAAATTATATCACGCTTCCTTGGAGGTCGGACTAAAGAATAATTAAAAAACTATTGGGAGCTATCGTCATTAGCTCATTGTTCATCCTGCCATTCCTAGGAAGGTGGACAATTCACCAGTGACCAGCTCCCTTATGTGGGCAGGTGTGGGCCAGTGCTCGCCGAACGCATATTCTCATATTAACGATAACTCCGAGCATTCACATAGAATATAGTTTCGTCTTCTCGTTCACACTTCCTGCGTGTGTCTACTAGCTCCAATAGTTGACAATGACCAGTTAAAAAACCAACTGTCAAGTGTAGGTTTTTCCTGGTCATTTTCAAGTATTTCTTTGATGCTGACTTTTCAAGGTTACTTAATAATACCTTGGCAAGTCTACATCCTTGCCCTTCTTCCCATCTTTTACGGTTTGCGTGTGGGAATTACATTTGACAATTTCCGCGATTTTTCGCCAACCAAAAACATCCCCAAGTTCTAAGAGTCTTAGGCCTGCTACCTTCCTAGCTAATTGGTCAGCAATGCGGTTGCCTTTATTACTATTGTGTCCTTTAACCCACCTCAGGATGATGTTATTACCATCCGAAGCTTGAATTAGTGACTCGTGACACTCCATTAGTAACCCTGATGTGACACGTGGTCTATTCAAGGTTAGTAACGCTTGTCTGCTATCGGTGCAGATTATTACAATTTTCCCAGCTATACCTTTATGGGTTATCTCTTTTGCTGCTATGGAGGTATCAGCCAGTTATGTCTGAACTACGCTGGAATTTTTTTTCCCATGCCCCACTTTGTTCTAACAACGTTACGAAATTATACACGGAACGTCACGCAAACTGCCAAATATTCTCGCCGTCAAATTGTTGATAGTGGGTGTTGTCTGATACCTCTCATCATTTGATATTCCACAATTTCATAATTTTAAGTTTATTCATTTCCAAGATAGCTTTTGCTTCGTTTTTTTTTTCTAAAATTCACTTAATTTATTAAAATAAATAAAAAAAAGGGGAGTTAATAATGAACATAGAGTCTAAACCTGGTTAATAAGAAATTCCTTTATTGAAGTTAATATTTTATACATAGATTTATATAATATATGTAAAAAGTATGTCAGTAAGACTTCTTATATTGTAATAATTTGGTATGTTCTTAGAGCTATGTAAATCAACGATAATGAAACTATTAAATATATTCACCAAACAAATTCTCAAGTGTCCGAAATTATCACTTCCTTACGGATTTTAAATAAAAAAATCAAAAATTATTGTCAATTTCTTTTCACTTGCTGATTAGATCAACAATTTTAATGCATTTACAAATATAAAATCCCACCATGGTGACTTTTTTCTTGAGAATACATCAAATATACAATTTAGCAGTTAACCCACCCATAAATAAAATCCATTAAGCCAAAATTAACTGCAAACTAACCATGTTCAACTAATTAAAATAGGTAAAATAAGCGGTGGGAAAGAACTTCTATAGATACTTGTATAATCATGATTATCCATGATTTGTATAAGTGCTGCTCGTGAAGTTTTTGTAATTGCACAAAAATTCGACTAATCAGTGTATTATACAAAAATCGAATAAAATACATCTAAAAATAGTCCAAAAACGCAATGTTACAAATTTTGCAAAACAATTACACTATTATTCCACAACACTGATGTATTATATCATAATTTAGTAGCAATAAGGACAGACATATTAAGAGAATTATGTAATGAACACAATGAAAATGCAATAAGTCAGAGTTTTCAAAAAAGTTTTAGGTGCGTAAATTGTGGTTAAGATGTTTAAAAAGAAAAAAAAAATGTGGAAAATAGTGGATTTTACACTATACATAGAAAACTTCGTTTAATGCGACACGTTTGAGTCTAGAAGCTCGCCTGATTATCAAGTATTCCCAGTTTATATTATGTACATACATATTAAGTTTATAGATTCACGAAGCTATATTAGATGATTTTCATTTGGCCTACTTGCCTGTCACTATAAATTAAAAAAAGAAAATTGTTGATCATTAGTGACTCACGCTTTCTTGTAGACTGAGTTCCAAATATAGTAAACCTGACGCACTCATTTGATGACGTTAAAATGAATGAAATGAAATCAGTCATTGCTGCAAACATTTAATTCTCTTCAATGCGTTCTCAATTACGTCTACTTAATTCGTTAGTTTTATATTTTACAGAACATAAATAAAAGTGCTACATTCAACTTGTGCAATGTGGCATTGTCACGATTTTGGTTCGCAACTCATTTTTCACATTAGCCTTTACAACCCGGATTATCAAGCGTGCCGGTTTAGAAGAAGTTTACTAATATATATTAAGTTAAATTAACAAACAGGAATGACATGTTTTATACACTCAAATTGCGATTCAACCGTCAAAATGAATGATTTTTTGAAATTTCGTAGCCAAATTAATAATAAAATAAAAAATATACCCATCCTTACAAACATGGTTCTAAACACAATAAGTAACTTTATTTGAGTGAAGAAATAAAAATAAATGATGCATTTCCATAGGGCGGCGTGCGTTATGTTTTATTTGGCACCTGTGCAAGTTCCAATGGATGACAGTTTTAAGGTCATTTTGCTTAAAAGGTATTTTATATCTCGAAACTTTATAATAAAATACAGTCAACAATCAAATTTATGAAGACAAAATTGTTTTGGCACTGCTGGTCATCAAAATGACAAATTTTCAAATGTACGCTCCAGGTATTTACACATTAATATATAATATTAACAATATATTTATAAATAATTTTTATAAAACCTCCATGTCTGCAAATGACCATAATACTATCAAAGTCTTTTCAACATTAAGTGATTTAACTATATAAATTTTAATTACAATTCAACCGATATGACTAATATACAAAACAAATTACCGTATATAAATTATACATATAACAAAAATCTTTAATTATATACATTAAACACAACTGAATTTGACACCATCATCGCTGGAGTAACAGTTGTGGCAGTGTAACTTTTGATTGCGAACTTTTACGTCAGTTCCCATCATGCCGTCGCCTAATTTAACGTGGCACACACAGCACTTAAAGCAGTCCATGTGATAGAAAAGACCCAGGCTCTCGACTATCATGGCAGCGCCTCTTCCTAAAACAACAAAAAAAGAAATTTAAAAATAATACTACGTTAAATTAATAATTATAAAGCGACATACATAATAAATTACCGTAGTAAAACCGTTTAAATCAAGGAGCCATTATTATTAATTCAATTCTTCTCCTTCAGTGCCTTATCCGGTCCTTATGTTGGCGATCGTCAAGGCTATACCGCTATACACACCGATATTTAGTTTTTTCATTTCTTGAATTGTGTGTATCTTTTCCACTTCAAACATACTTCGAACATTCCAAGTACAAATTTTTTGAACGTTCCAAGTGCACACTTTTTCTCTATTAGTGTTTAAATATTGGTAAGGATTTAGTGGGTTGACGACCTGGGAAGCCTTACATTTTCTTGTTCTTCCTCCCCTGCCGGATCTTGGTATCCGAAGTCCATGATCAGTACCATCTCCAAATTAGTTTACATTAACCATGATGAATGAACTAGGAACTATTTATGGGATGGTTTCCCGTTGCCTTCCCCATCGCAGTGTAACAGCCGTTTGACTCATACTGCGAGTGGCTCCTGTGAGTATCTAGAATTAACCATACAGATTTTTTTTTTACTTTCCCAAAGCCTTAATCCAGTAATGACATTACTGCTGCCTAATGCCATGTCCTCAGTTGATCCGCGGGTACTTATTTGGCTATGCCTTATTCGTACCTGTCCTGAATATCTGCAGGAACTTTCCCTAATCAGCTATTAATTCGATTACAAAACGCAAAGATGACATATACACTTCATCTGCTGAATATTTGCACAAGTATGACATTAATTAAGAATTAGTTTTTATATTACGTCCCTTTATTACTCAAACAAACTAAACTAATGATCTTAAGCCACAATAGCATACTGAAGACCTGAAGATGCATAGCAAATTATAGTATGCTTAACAGGTCGTTGGTGGTAGAATAAATTGATTGTGAGTAAGTCTTATTCTTATTTCTTTTTACCTATTTGAAATGGACTCATACAGGCAACATATTCAAGATTCGTTTTATAATTGAATGCTATGCTGAAACAACGTTGTAACCGCCAATACTTTCTTTTTTAATATGTGGGTTTTCCATGAAACAACGTTCTATATGTGCAAAATAATGTACTGCTGACTGTGGGAAATATTATGACACTTTTCGTGATTGTTTTGGTAGTTTGAAAAGTAGTCAATCTTCAACTTGTCATTTCGAGCTAAAATGGATGTTAGTATAACCAAGTCAGCGATTACCCAAGTTAACAGAGAGAAAACACGAAAGCTTAACATTGATAAGTGGAAGCAGAATATTAGAAAACGTCGCATAGATGCTGGTGATTCGCACCTCTAGTCTAGACAAGTACCCAAAGAAACCCGAAGTTGCCCAGATGAAGTAAGTTCTAAACTAGTTTTATGTTTTAAAACAATATTTATTTTAGGTGTGTATTTGTAAATGTAAGCAGTCTGCTACGGGTTATTAGTGGGCAATCACGCAAAACTATCCAAAACGTTTAAAGAAATGAGTTACAATGGCCAATCAAATCAAAGAAAAGTGTTTTTCGCTGCTTCTTCTTCTTCTTCTTCTTCCTTCTAGTATGTAGGCTTTAAAGCCTGTTTCTTCTTAAATACTAGCCTCCTAAATTGTTTAAATTGTCGCAACATCTTTTTCTTGGTCTGCCAATACTTCTTCGTCCATTTAGTGACTTATCTCGTGCTATTCGTACTATTCTATCCTCTGCCATTCTACTGATATGTTCGTTCCACTCCTGTTTCATTTTGTCACCCATCCATTTATGTCTTCTATATTGCATGCTCTTCGTATGTTTTCGCTTCTCTCCCTATCCGATAGACTTCTCCCTAATATTCTTCAGAGTACTTTCATTTCTGTTGTTTCTAGCAGTCGTCTCGTTTTAGATGTGTCAGGTCTTGTCTCCGCCGTGTATGTTAATATAGGTCTAATTGTTGCTTTATAGATTCTTGTTTTTGTGTCTTGTCTTAGGTGTTTGTTCTTCCAGATTGTGTCATTAAGAGAACTCGCCGCTTTACTTGCTTTTAAGCTTTGTTGTCGTACTTCTTCAACATTTCCGTAACTAGTTCTATTAATAAAATGATAAACGTGTGGAGGAAATCGTACGGAAAGTAGTTCGTAACATGATGCCGAGGAGACGTGAACCCAGATGTTGGAATGATAACGACGTAGGTCACATTCGTCGTAAATTACAAGAAAATAATACAACAGTCAGAAAGCTAGATCCGGTACCTTTTACCCTATTCTTAAGAAGGTCAGTAAGAGGTGATAATGAAGTGGAATAAGAACGTACAAACCGTCGATAGTACATACATCTATTCCCAGATATCTAAACCTTGCTTCCTGCTTGTTCACTCCCTGCATTCCTGCAGGGAGTGAACACAAACTAGTACTAGCAAAGATAAGAATAAAACATAAATATGCTGGTTTATTGTACTCGATGGCCTTTTCTGTGATTTGTTTTAGTACAAATACGGCGTCTACGTAGGATATTCCGGACCTGAATCCTTGTTGTTCATCTGAGAAAGTTGTTAGTTTATTGATTTTGTTGGTTAGGACTTTTGTGGTAAGATTAAGTGCGGTGTTCAGTAGATTTATACCTCTATAATTGTTGGGGTTTTCTTTATCTCCTTTCTTGAACATTGGTATCATTATGCTGTTTCTCCATGCGTCTGGTATCTTGCAGTGCAATATTAGTTTTTGTTTAAGTTTTGTCACCTCTAGGGTTATACTTTCTCCTCCGTATTTTAGAAGCTCGTTGGTTATTCCGTCTGGTCCTGGTGATTTCTATTTCATGTCTCAATTTAGGTACGTTATTCTGTTGATTATTATTTTCCTTTGCTTTAAACAATTCCGTCAGGTATCTTTCGCTGCAAGAACCAAAAAGAAGAAGGGTTGGGGAAGCAAATCTCGTCGTCAGTGTACAGTGACATATACAGTAGAAAACGTCAGGGTATGTAAAGCAACGGTATGTTATATACTTCCAATAACCGCTAGAGGACTCTAGTACCTTGTTGATAGAATGAAAGCTGAAGTAAATCTAAATGATCAACGTGACAAACATACTAATCGTCCCAAAAAACTCATGATAACAGATACAGAGCCAATATGCGAATATATTAGGTAATTTCTGCAGCAAGAAAATCATTATAGCAGAAATTCTTTTTCTAAAAATTGCCTTCCAGCTGATTTAAGCATCTCAAAAATGTACCCTAATACAAAAATATCTGTACGAACATACTACGACATTTTTAAAAGTAAATTCAACTTGCGTTTTGGACTTCTCAGATCAGATACTTGTTCATATTGTGACAAGCTTTCAAACTTTCTTCTGCTAGCGGTGAATGTGAAATAAATAGAAATTGACAGTAAAATTCATCATATGCGAGCGGAAGCAGGTTATAAAACATTAAGACAAGATACTGAAATTGCAAAAGTAAATGCTAATTATGTCGTTTTCTGTACTGATTTGCAACAAGTTATTTTCTGCCATAATCTAATTCACTCATCAATCTTCTACCAGCGACAACTTTCTTCGTATAACTACGCTGTTCATAATATGGAGAGTAATACTGCTACAATGATGTTGTGGAACGAAGTAATGGAGCATCGAGGCTCCATTGAGATAGCATCAGCATTGCTACTTTATATAACTGAAATCTTCAATCGTCTTGATCCAGGCCAAAAAAAAACTTGTTATTTGGTCAGATAGATTTATCATCCAAAATAACAATTGGAAAGTCATAACATTACTTCGACTACTACTGTTGAGAAAAATACTACACCCAAATTGAGCAAAAGTTTCTAACTAGTGGGCACATCTTTCTGACCTGTGATGGAAACTTTGCCCTCATAGAACGCAACAAAAAACTTTAATCGGTTTATATCCCGTTTTAGTGGACAGATGTAATTGCAAATACAAGAATTAAAAACTCATTTAAAGTTATCTACATGCATCAAACATATTTTTAAAAGTTTATCAACGCAGAAAATGTAGTATGGAAAGATCCAAAGTGCAAAATAACTCAGTCAGTGTGGATACAAATTAGTTCAGATGATCCAAATACTATACGGTTAAGAAAATCCCACAATACTATTCAACCATGGTCATCTTATTCTTTAAAGTCAACTAAAACGCCTATAACTGAAGTCACTCTTACTGAACTTACAGAAGTCTATGAACGGCCAGTACCAATGAAAAAAGAAAAACATGCCAATTTATTAAATATTGTTGAATATATTCCACTACAGTATGAAACTATACAACAAACAAAATCTTGAAATCGTGAATAAATATTATTTTGATATGTATGTACGTCATATAAAACATGTTAAGTAATTTGTTATTAATATTTCTAAAACAACGTTTCAACCGACGCGATGGGGATTTAACACGTTGTTTTATTAAAATATAGCATATATGTTCATAAATGCTTGTTTTGTACAACCTAGGTTCTTTTTTTATATTAATGTTATGCATCCTAGTCTAGTGATAGTCTATCATGTTACGCTCATAAATATATATATTTTTTTTCAAAATAATCAATTATAAGTTGTTTCAGTATATCGTTCAATTGTTCACGCAGGTTCCTCGAAAGAATTTGTTACCGACATCTGTCATTTGTCACACCCCTCTCTTTCAATATTACAAATAGTTAATTTTAAATAGGTAATATACCATGTGTGGCACATCATTAGACAGTTATTTAGCTGGAGAATTCAGACATCTATGATTTCTCTTTTCATAATAACTCCGTTCTTGTGAAAAAGTATCAATTTTTTAAAAGTGTTACGCCGAACTTTAAAAAAATTATAAAATGACAAACCTAGTTCATTTCCACAATATGAACATTTCTTTTTTCCACTAACACTCAAAATCCGATCCTGGGACTCCTTAGGCATAGCTGGTGGTGAGTAGGCCACGGTGGGTAGTGCGTGATTTACCGATTGAGGATGGTTTCTGAATGTGTTCTGTATGTAATCGTCCTTGTAAATTGGTTCAGACCTACAAGCCAAAAATTGTTTTTAAAGATGCTGTTGTCAAGTTAGTCACCCTACCTTTGTACGGACGGCTGTGCCATTTCGTTAGTTATTCTAGTTGGGTTACGTTGTCTTGTTGGATGTCTAGCAGTTACTAAATTTTTCTGTTGATCAGATATCCTTCTCAGTTCTGCTTCCTAGAAATATAATAGACTATAAATATAATTAAAATAATTCATGTTTAAACAAATTACTTTTGTTGCGATATAAGATCTAGAAAAGTTCATGACATTATCTACTATATTTATAGCCTAAGAGGCTGTGAACTTTAGATACCCCTAGGACAGGGAGGGGGCAACTTGAAATCTCAAATAGGACCCCCTATTTTTTTTACTGCGGATTAGGATTCCTCATAAAAAAGTAAGTACCTTTTATAAGGAACATTTTTGTCGAATTGTTAGTAGATGGCATTAGAATAGCTATTTTTGCACTTTTAGTTTGGGATATTTTAGAAAATAGAGCCAATTTTGCAATTTGGAGCTCAGATTCGGACTCTGCGCACAAAAAACCTTGTGAAAAGTTTATTCTGATCTACTTAAGAGCATAGGCGTAAAATTTCGGGTCAATGCTTTTTAAATGCATTAATTTTTTTCGAATCCTGAGAAAACTAACAAACATTTTTAAAAAATTTAAACGCAGAATGAAATATTACATTATTACCGAGGGCCGAAGGTCCCTTAGAATAAACAAAAGGTTTTTTTGAATGAGATATTTAAAAATTACACTAAATTTTCTCTTTTTTTCACCGCTGTAACTTATTAAAATAAACATTATAGAAGTTTTCAGGGACTTTCGGCCCTCGGTAATAATGTATTTTTTCATTCTGCGTTTAAATTTTTCAAAAATAGTTATTAGTTTTCTCAGGATTCGAAAAAAATGAATGCATTTAAAAAGCATTGGCCCGAAATTTTGCGCCTACGCTCTTAAGGATGGTGAAAAAATTATATTACGATGCTACATAACCTCAAAAACTGACAAACACCGCGTTTTGCACTTTTAGTTTAGGATATCTAGAAGCCAGGGGCTATTTGGCAATTTGGAACTCAGACTCGGACTCGGCACACAAAAAATCTTCTGAAAACTATATTCTGATCTCTGGAACCGAATACTGGTCAAATTTTGTCGGCATGTATAATCAATACAACACTCTAGCACAAATATTTACAATAAATAAGTTCAAGATATGTTTCTGATTCGATTGGGGTTAAATATGGAAACCATGGCCTGGAATCTTATATGAATGACTTGGTTCATTCCCCCATCACTTTGACCCCAGCGAGATAATAAAGAGAAATGACAGCCTATCTCTCTCACGAAGGCTTTAACCATAGATTAAATATTGGCTTTAACCAATCATAAACAATAAAAATCAAACGAAGCAATGTCAATTCTGTCAATCCAAATTAATGACAGATCTTCCGTTTGTTTACAAGTTTTCAATTTTATTTTATTATCTTTAACTTTCGTTTGCATTTATTCTTAGTAATTTTAATTTAAATTTGGTTACTTAATTTTTAAAGTTTATTTTGAATTACCTATTGTAGCAAAGAATTTTTGTGTTGTGCTAGTAACAAAACTAAACATGGTGAATTATTGTATTGTTCGTTGTGTACAAATCATGGAAAAATTACAAAAAGAATGATAGTAAGTTGTAAGGAAGCAAAAAATAATAGTATTTAACTTCTGCAAATATGTGTGATAAATATTATGTAATTATTTTATAACTGTTTTATCTTAAACAACAAATAAATATACGTATATCTAGAAAAAATTGTGCATCTTATATCCTTATTTTCCAATAAATTTTAATTAGTAACGAAATAGCCCACAAGAGGCGCTAAAGGGTATGTATGTAAGGGGTGTTCATTCGCATTTGCCGCCAAAAGATGATTAGTATTGACCCCAGCCGCAAGGGGCCTAATGAACGAAATTTATACATTGAGTTGCCTATCTATTTCTACTATTATATTATTTATCTATGATGGAAACTTGGTTGAGTTGACCGAAAGTACAAGCTGAATATAGCCGCAAAAGTCAAAAATATTTGGGTTTGGCAGTGTTGGAATGTTTTTATAATGCATATGTTGTATGCTTCAAATATAAAGACAGAAAGCTTTTAAAAAGTACATTTTGATTATATTATTTTATGAACTCGGCAATTTTTAATGTATATGAAGCAATAACGTGTAAATATTTGTCTCTTTCGAGATTAATTGCAAACATCTATTGCAATCTGGCAACTGCTGATTTGACGATTGCCAAATCTATTCCCTAATATATCAAAGGGTAATTGCCAAAAAAAAATTTCTAATAATTAACTGCAATTAATCTCAAAAGAAACAAATACTTACTCATTCTTGTTTTATAAAAATCAAAAATTGCAGGATTTATAACATAATATAAACAAAATGTACTTTTCTAAAGCTTTATCTTTTTATATTGGAAGCATTTAGCACCTATATTATAAAAACATGGCAACACTGCTATAACGAATTTTTTTGTTCCGTGTTTGACCTTTGCCGCTATAATCAGCTTGTACTTTCGGTAAACTCAACCGGAAACTTCATTTGAACTATACTGTTAAAATAGTACAAAAGTATTTTTACCTGAATAAGCCAATGTTGGTTGTAATTCCTACCCTCACTATTTGATTTAGAATGGTGCCACTTGTCACGTCTGTGCAAAACACCTAATTGTTTGGAAACCGGTTGAGAACTTTGTTGGTCATATATAGCCCAATCTTTAGCTCTCAAAGGCTTGGGCGGAATTGCGGAGGGTTTTGGGGTTTTAAAAGTCAAAGAATTCATATCTAACTGTAATTCAGGCATAGATTTTCTATGTTCTAGAGGAATTCGTGTGCTTTGCTTGACTAGGGGACGCTGGTGCTCTGGACTGGACTTCTTATAGACTTGCTGAAGGTCTGGCATTGATTTCCTGTTGTCGACTGGTATACCTAGGTTACCTGCAGAAAAACAGTGGTTCTTTAGGAAGTCTAAGGAACATCGAGAAATTAAATTCATATTATGGAAAGTTTTCAATTATATATTTAAAAGTACAATTTTATTTACTAGGACGGGATTATAAGAAACTTTTATGTGATCTACTCACCATCAACGAGCACTTTAGGTTGGACATATCCTCTCATTTCCAAATCTCTAATATTTTCGTATGCACAGCTATGGTTTGTCGGTGGGGCACGTCCATAATCGAGAGAAGCGTTTTGAATAGCTAATTCAGGCATCGATTTTCGACAGTCAATATGGTTCTCGTATAAGTAACATGGATACATTTTGTCTGCTAGATTTTCTAAGGAGTGTCTGTTGTGAAGATGTGCTTTTGCTCTGCTCTCTCGAAATAACATGTTTTCGCGTTGTCTTTCCAGTTCTTCCAGTTCCAGCTGGCGAAGTTCTTGTTCAACTTTCAGTACTTCTGAGTCTTGGTCTAAGAAATCTGAGTGTTGCTGCAAAATTCAAGATTAGTAAAATGATTAGGAAAAATAAGTTTCACTTACTGTATTAAAACAAGGACTATCAAACTGTTCACTGCCAAGGGATGGTTCATAAGCAGAATCTTTTTCTGAATTAAAGCCTTTATTTACAGGTTCTTTATTTAAGTAATCTACGATATCTCGATATTGTTCTTCTTTTTCTACCAGCTCTATTATTTCCCTTTCCTTTTTGGTTATTTCATCTTCTTCTGAGGTAATACTGTTTGTTTGCTATAAATAAAATTTATTAATAGAAAACTACTATAAAATATTTTTAAGAAAAAATACTGAAACGGTCTACAGGGCTTTGATAAAAAATTACGAGAAATTAGATACAAATAAATGACAAAAGAAATGTAGTTAGTTATTATGAGCTTCATGAATAAAATGACAAACTTTATGTATTTGCTCAGTGATGGCATGCTGTTGAATGGTGGTCTGAATCCAAACTGGTGGATAGGTATCAGTTGGAGTTCTGCAAGAATTGGTTGTAACCTATCCAACAGTAGTTTTTCAAAATTATTTAATATCATCGGCAGTAGGCTAATACGAAGTCTGTCTATTAAATAACGAGACTGCGCGTGCAGAAGGCGTCCTAGAGGGGAAGAGTGGGAAAGGAATGCAGCATTAGATAGCTGGAAGTGTCTACTCCTCCAGTACGAGAATACGTTTTTGTCGCTGTGACTAATGTGTGACGGAACACATGAGCAACAGATTAATGTGAAATTTCTCGTTAAATTAAAAAACCTCTGACTGAGTGCTAAAATTTGTTGAAAGAGGCCTATGGTGAGAATTCTCTATCTCGTGCGCGTGTTTTCGAATGGTATAAACGGTTTTATGAATGCCGAGAGAGAGCCGAAGATGACCAACGCCAGGTCGACCTGTTTTTGTTTCAACTCCGCAAAAAGTGACCAAAATAAATGAAATTGTTCGCGGCAAAATGAGCATTCGGATGATTGCTGAGACTATAAACGCCGATAAATAAACTGTCATAAAAATTTTACATGACGAATTGAACATGAAGAAAGTCTGTGCGAAGTTGGTCCCAAAAAATTTGACTCCTGACCAACAGCTCGTCCGTCAACAGATCTGCTCAGATTTTCTTGAGAGGTTACACGAAGAGCCTGAATTAATGGAAAACATCATCACTTGTGATGAAACCTGAATATTCAAATACGATGTTGAACCTAAGCGACAATCCTCTTACTGGAAAACTCCTATATCGCCAAAAATGAAAAAAGCAAGGATGTCGAAATCAAAATTTAAAGCCATACTAATCGTTTCGACATTGACGGCATCGCGATGACTGAATGGGTTCCAGAGGGTCAAACTTACTAGCCAGACCTCGTAGATCGTCTGTATGATTTAATGTTTTCTGTAAGTTTACCTGGCTTAGGTATTGCAACAATTTGAGTCACTTTTCATGGAATGGGGTAGTAGCCCTTTCTTAGTATCGCATTAAATATCTGTCACAAGTACAGACTTCCTACTTTGGAGAGTTCTTTGAGAATTTTAGTGGTGATCAGGTCGTATCCAGGAGACTTTTTAGGTCTGGTGAACTTGTTTGGTAGTGAATGTTCTAAGTACAATTCAAGTTGATACGGTGATTTTAAAAACTTTTGGGCCTCGTTTGTTATGTCAAGGTTGTTATTGTCTGGAAGGTTTGGTTGGAACACATTGCAACATGGTATGTACCTAATCAGTTAATTACGCATGACCTTAAAATAACAAAAGAAGACTTTAAAGAGTTTTGGACGAACTAGGCAACCGATTCATTTGTGGCGGTGACTAATGCCAAGCATCAGAGTTGGGGTTCTAGACCAGATACAACCAGAGGAAGAGAGCTATACAAAGCAATAAACAACAATAATTTAGAAGTAGTAACAACATGAGAACGAACGTACTGGCCAACCGACTTCCATAAAACCCCCGATCTTCTGGACTATGGCATGAGTCAACTAATTAACAAGCACTATATGCATGCTAAGTTGTGTTATGAACTATCTTCCCGATCATTCGCCTGTTATTATAACACTAAATAAAAAAATCCTCCACAGGGAAAAACCATGTGTATTACATAACCGAAAAACAAATTGAAACATCTTTAAACATGTAGTGGAGAAGAGACTCCAACTAAACATTCCCCTCAAGACCAAAGAGTATACATGTTGTATACTTGTAAAGTACTCAATCATACAAGTTGCCTGGGACTCAACAACACCCAGCAACAATGAAATAAATACTTCGATATCTATAAGAGAATCCAGAAAAGAAAACTCAGGAAAGGGTGGCAAGGAACTAGATCGCCACAAACAGACACACAGCTGAACAATGCAATAAAGGAGCTAAAAGAAATAATAGCAACGGAAAAGAGTCTACAATTCCGTGAATACCTAAAACAACTAGATACAACTGAACAAACAAACTACTCCCTATGGAAGGCTAATCAAAAATTAAAAAACCCCAATACAATATACCACCCTTAAAAAAAAGTAATGTCCACGTGTCATCACATGGTGCCGAAAACCAAATCTGAAATCAATCTGAATTTTTTAAGACTTAGAGTATAAAAGTGAAATGTAATTTAAGGCAGCAATAAACTCAATGCAAATGTCAGGTAATCTATGCGAAAACTGGAAGTTCTTCATACAAAGATTTAAAAACTACCTTCATGCAACAGAATTAACAAAAAAACCTGAAATAAACTCACCAAGGCGCACAACTGTTACAATTAATAGGAGACGAAGTATTCAAAATCCATAATACGTTCAAGTTCTCAACAGAAGAAAAAGATAAGTTAGAACCATTAATCACAAAATTTGAAGCACATTTCAAATCCAAAAGCAATGTATCAAACGCAAGGTATTGCCTGTTTACCAGAAAACAAGATGAAGGTGAGTCAGTAGACAAATTCATAACAGATGTTATAAACCAGGCAAAAAATTATGAGTTGGAGAATTTGGAGGACAGTCTGATTAAGACTTGCATAACATGTGGGTTAACAGATGAAACCATGAGACAGAGAATGTTAGAAGAAGATGAGATGAGCTTGGAAAAAGCAATCAATATGTGTAAAAGTATAGAAAGCTCGAAAATTCATTCTGAAAAAATGAGGTCAGAGGAGGTAAACTACATAAAGAAAGGAAACTTCAGTAAGAAATATGTAAATAAAGCCCAGTGGTAAGACAGAAGAGTGAATCCAACTCATTCGAAGTCCCAAGGCAGCCAGTTCAATGGTAAATCTGAAACCAGTTCAGGGTGCAGTAGATGTGGAATGGAGCACAGAGGCCAACCCTGCAAGCCATATAAAGCTAAGTGTAATTTATGCAATAAGATATGGCATTATGCAAAAGTATGTTTTCAAAAACAAATTAAATATGTAAATGTAGATGATTCAGAATCAGATGAATTGTTTATAGGTATGGTAAATACTAAAAATGATAGTTTTAACAATGATTTCATGATAAATTTTAAAGTTAACAAGCATAAATTAAGCTGTAGATTGGATACAGTGCAGTGGAAAATGTAATATCAATAAATAAGTTAAATTTTCTAGAAGTTAAGGTTGAACTACATAAAACAAACCTGCAGGTTAACAACATTTTCGAATGAAACACTTCAGTGAGTCATTGGAAAATGTATTTTGGAATGCAAATATAAAGATAATATGTACAACACAATGTTTTATGTGGTAGGGATTAATTCACCAACGGTATTAGATCTTCCTACGTGTAAAGCTTCAAATATTTTAAATAGGGCCAATACAATAGAAAAAATTGAAAGTAATTTGAATTCTAGAGAAGTTACATTTAAAAATGATTTCTCTGATGTGAAAGAAATATTTAAGGAAGTCTATTCAGATATAGGCTGTTTGGATGAGCCATACAACATTATGTTAAATAAATCTGCACAACCGGTTATACATCCTCCAAGAAAGATTCCACTACAGCTAAAGGAGACACTAAAGCTTGAATTAGCTGAAATGGAAAAAAATGGTATAATCGAGAAAGTTAATTAACCTACAGATTGGGTCAACTCCATAGTCTTAGTAAGAAAACCAAAAAGTAATTCCATAAGAGTTTGTATTGATCCTAGAGACTTGAATATGCGCATGCAATAGAGAAGGCATGCAAATTGGCCGAATCCTCTTTTGAGTGTCAAGTAGTCATTTTCCGGCACATTCTGCTAGTCAGCTTTAATTTATTTGCTTTTTGTTGCATTACTCCAAATACTTGTGTTACATTACACATACACATTTTTATTACATTGGCGTCCCACAACTCCCATTCTCACATATTTTGTTATTAAAATTACATTATTTTGTTACTTAAAATTCCCTGGACAGATCACACAACAAACGTCGAAATATTAAATCTAATGGACAGAGAACGAGAATTGCTGTCAATAATAAAAAGAACAAAAACTGCTTATCTGGGTCATATATTTCGAAATTTCAAGTACCAGTTCTTAAAGCTTACTATGTAAGGGAAGATAGAAGGAAAACGGGCATCGGAAGAAAGAAATACTCATCGCTCAAAAACATAAGGGATTGGACAAACCTCGATGCCCATGCACTCTTTAGAGCCACACAAGATCGAGAGGAGTATGCCAGAATTGTCGCCAACATCCATTAATTGGATAGGGATCCATAAGAAGAAGATACAAAGCGATGTTACAGCCAGTATAGACCTATGGGATAGAATTATGCATTATTGGGAGTTGGGTTGAGGGGGCGTCGCAAAAAAATAACAAAGTTCAAAGGGCGTCACAGTACAAATAAGTTTGGGAAGTCCTGGACTAACATTAAGAGCGGCATATTAATGGATATAATCCCGTATGTCAATAGTTTCATCATCATCAATCAGCCAATCGCGTCCACTGCTTCACATAGGCCTCCCTCAGTTCTTTCCAGTGTTCTCTACACTGGGCCGCTTGTAGCCAGTTTCCCGCTACACGTTTAATGTCATCGGTCCATCTAGTCGGTGGTCGTCCTCGGCTTCTTTTATAATTTCTGGGCCTCCATTCTATAATATGTCTTGTCCACCGTCCATCTTGTGTTCTGGCTAAGTGCCCTGCCCAGTTCCACTTAAGCGTCGTGGTTCTTTCGATGACGTCTTGAACTCCTGATCTTCGCCTGATTTGTTGGTTTGTTATGTGGTCTCGAAGGCTCACGTTCAGCATTGCACGTTCCATGGCTCGTTGTGTAACTCTAAGTTTATTCGCAGATTTTT